GGGGGGGGGGGGGTACTATGACGTGATGGTACAGTATAAATACAAAGAAGAGAACGCATGTGCATACCGAAGTGATCCCTTCCCCCGGCCTGCAGGAGGCTGGTTAATGGTAACAATGGTGCGGTGACTTCAGGGTATGATGAGGGCATCGAACAGTGTATTTCGTGCGGCCGCAGTGGAAGCATCGAAAACATTGCGACAACAAAAACACTTCACCCCAAGGCCGATTTTCATATATATACCCGTTCAACACCGAAAGGCCACATACACACCTAGAGTGTCGACACCCAACACAGACCCCTGCATCACCTTTCGCAAAGTAGGAAGGAAGGATTGACCACCTGCGATCGGTCCTGTCGGAACAATGCTAGGACGCGTGGTCAAATAGCCTAACAGAAAGGCACCCACAGCATAAGTACATCTCCCCATGTTGTCTACCGTAGGAGCATCGGCGAACGAACGGAGCGGCTACCCACCTTTGTCCCTAGTTCGTACTCCTTATCTCTCCTAGCCTGCGCCTTCTTGGAGAGGGCCTGGTTGGGATCTCTGGGTTGGAGCGGGGCCCCGCGGCCGGAGCTGCTGTACACGGTCCACTTCCCGTTCCGTCGGTAGTTCTTTGGTGCGTTTTCCGGTCCCTCCCTCCCCTCCTGCATATCCATCGCCATGCAGCGCGCCCTGGAAAATATATTTCGGACACATTGGGCAAGAACGTCGATTGCTAATTCACGTGTTGTATTTTCCAAAGCAACAGACTGTACAGCTGGGGGAGTTGACAAGGAGGAGGCGTTTTTATCATAGCGGAGCTCCTTGCCGTCCGTCGGCAAGGGAAGTATTCCGTTAAGCTGTGACATTTGAGCGGCGACCCGCACACACACAGAGCGAGAGGTGTGCAGAGAGTGGAGGCAACGGAGAGAAAGCGAGAGAGGTGGCACTCGCTCCTGCTCTGTTACTGCTTGCTTGTTATCTTGTTGCCAGCGTGGAAGCAGCACGCAGAGAGAGAGAGAGAGAGAGAGCGAGAGACAGAGAGAGAGATGTAGCCAACAGCTTCTTGCCATTCGGATATATTTTTCTCGTTTCCTTTGCGATCGAAGGAGGGATCTTGGTTGTACACAAACGCTGGAAACATCACGAGGACGGTGCTTATCATGAGAGCATTGCCTCTGCACATGTTATTGGTGCCCCGTTATACCTGCAGGTGCTGCTGCTACTGCTGTTGTTGACGCTGCTTTTCTGTCTAATTTGCTGGTAGATGTGTGTAGAGAAGGAGCTCGACGACGCTAAAAAAGCCGTCGCAGAGCACCTGCATCAATGGAGAGGGGACATGACGGCGACATCGAATGCGGCGCCAGGCCCAGGTGCTCTCCCCCCGCTTCAGTGCATTCTTGCAGACATCTGTTTCGACCATTGGCGCCGTTCGATATATAACCACAGTCGAACGGGATGTGCGTGTTTACCTGGTGGATTGTTTTCCGCTGTTTTACTAAGGCGACACCATTCTAAAAAACAATCGCCCGTAAAAATAAAGCCCAGACGCCCAGCCAGCATCAAAAAGGCTTTCGATGCACCCATCCTCTTCGACTGCTCAAGGTGATGTGCAAAATATCTCGAACGGGCACCTACTCAATCTGTGATTGTGCTTCTACACGACTGCTGTAGCTGTATCTTCGTATCTTCTGCTCCAGCTGAAAAAATCGGTCGACAATCTCCGCCTTATGAAATCATGAGCTACAGCAGCACATCCGATGTGCATGAAAATAATGGCGTGTACTTGGGAGATGGCGGCCAAAACGCACGCGTTCAGGATTAAAACGCACGTGTTCGGGATTTGGTATCTACGAGGCACGTACGTACGTGCCCGGAACCGATGGAGGGCGGCTGTCTGGACCGAAAAAAAAAAAACACAACGACCAAACGGTACTTCGAAGCTTCAAAGCGGCACTTCAACGGAGAACGCAGGCCATGACGACTACAGCACTCTTTTTTTGTGCTCTTGTGCTTATGTGGACGTTCCAAAGGATGCGATGATGCGATACCATCCCCAACGAGGAGCAGGATTGTTACCACATGCTTGCCATCTACCGATATAGAAGAGGCAAAGGGCAGCCAGACCTTGCGATTGGAGGCGGAACATCCGTTTGACCGAGGCAACGGACCAGAATATGGGAATCGTTGATTTGGTGGAATCTGACTGCGTGGAATAGATGCACACGTCGCATGCTATGCAAGCGTCAAGTGAAAGGTGGTTACGCGGCATGTGCACGAGCTCGTTGCTTCACACGACCCAGCACCCCACAGCGGACTCGCTGATTGAAATGAGAACATGAAATATACGCTTGTTTTCGGCGTGGAAACCGCACGCGTTCCCAAAACCACGGGAAGCTCAGGCACACGCCGACCCCCATGCTCGACTGGCGGCGTGCGTTGCATCATCGGCAGTTGCCTTGCCTTTCTACGTACCCAGCCTACAGGAGTTGCTGACGTACTGCAGCAGCCTGATGGGCTGTTGCAACATAACAAGGGCGCAGCTTTGTGCTGGCCGTGGCGAGGAAGGCATCCGATCGCACATTTCCTTCAGCTGTGTGCGGTGGTGGTGATGGTATTGGTGCTGCTGCTGCACCGAAGTCGCCAACGTCAACACCCGAAAAAACGTGCTCTTTTCTAAATAGGTGTGGCGCTTCGGAAGGCACAAGACGGACGTGACCAAATGCACAGAAGGTTAGAAACATACACTTCCACGTGTCACACCCGAACATACTCATGAGTCCAATCGTACATGTCACGAGCACGGCGGCAAAGAGTCGCATGGCAACGCGACCTTGGTCCGCACTCGCACCCTCACAGGTGTTTGACCAGCATGAGACACACACAATCTCACGTGCGTGTCGCTGCTCGAAAGCCTCGCATACGAAAAACATACAGGTGACCTCGTTTCTGTATCAATCTTTCAGGCTATATTTTCGGTCTCCCAGCTCGCAGTACGAGCGATTAGGGGGAGCCTGCCTTCCGCTCGAACGTGCATGCCATCTACGTTGGGTGTGTTCGTGTGGGGATGAGCATGAACCAACCGGTAGTGAGCATGCGTCCCTTCTCGAAATAAAACACAGTTAGAACCGGGGAGAGCACGGGCTGAGGGACAAGGGGGAAACTTCACCTGGTCTGGCTGATGCCCAGGCAGCCACCTCTCGACAAGCATGCACGCCTACCCAGAAGTCGCTGCCGCTGCAGACAGCTGGGTGCCACGAACGCGGCCGCGTCCCCGGGACCACGCTGGTAGCCGCACGAGAGCACCAGGATCGGCATCAGCATGAGGCACACGCTGAGCCGTTGATGATGCTGGTTGTCCGACATCATGCGGAGAGAGAGAGGAGGAGAGGAGAGTGACGTTTGCGTACACCCTCAACTCTCTCTCTCTCTGCCTGTACTGCGCAATCCCTGATCTACCCGCGAAGGACGCACACAACACACCGCCCTCTACGTCTAGGCCCTCTCCTTGGCTCTCTTCCGCCAAGTGGCCGGCTCAAACCGCTGGTGTGATGGTTGAGGGGTGACGAGAGCGTTGGGCCGGTGTACGTGTGTGCGTGTTTTTTTTTTTCATACGCAGGATACCACCCTGCCCGCAGGTGCAACTGGCGACGCGGTCCAACTCCCCCTCTGTTGCGTTTAGTTCCCAAGTGCCAAAAAGCTCAGAGGAGACAGCAGGCAAGCTGCGAGGGATGTCGGATGACTCAGGTTTGTCAGCCCTTGCGGTGGTGATGATCGTGTCCTGCGTCGCGCTGGTCATGACGACCAACCGCATGTACGGGCAGCCTACGTTTTTCAGCCCTCAGAGCGGCAGCAGTAGCAGCGTGGACGAGAAAGGCTGCTGCGCCAGCACTAATAGTAGCACCAGCAGGGCCAGCAGAGAGAGGACTGCAACAAGCACTGGCAATGTGTTCGGCAGAGTTCCCGAGTTTGGAGTGCTGGAGGTGATCTTGTCGTTCCTCTCGCCCGCAGATCTAGTCGGCACCGAAGCCGTCTCGACGACGTTTCGAAGATCGAGCATTGCGGAGCATCTGTGGAAGCAACACTGTGCACGAACCTTTTCGCCGCTGGCGCAGCTAGGAGGGGCCCGGTGCCAAGAACAGCAGCAGGAAGAGCACCAGCACCGTCATGTCCGGCACCAACATATGCCGCAGCGGAAGGACGAGGATGAGGAGGAGGAGGAAGAGGGGTGGGGAGGTAGCGGCCGATTCCGTCCGAGTAAGGCCTGCTGCAGCAGTTGTTGCCCAATCAGCAGCGGGAGGGGAGGGTATCATGAAGCGACAGACTCAGGGCTTCCACTAGCGTGTTCAACTACTACTTCTCGAACAACTGGGGACGCGAGAAGAAGCGGCAGCTGCGGCAGGAACGGTAGCAACGGACCCCCGTCGCCTTCCTCTCTCTCCCGGTCGTGCTGTGACAGGGCCGGCTACCACTGCCCATGGCGAGAAGCATTCTTCCGCGCCCATCGCGCCAGACCTCGTGACCTGCTGCGAGAGCTCTCCTCCTCCCTGCCGTCCAATGTTAATATTCAGCAACCACCATCACAACCGGCACCGGAACAGCAGTGCATCATTGTCTTGCACGGAAACGTCTACGAGCTCGCCGGCTTTCTTTCATCCCACCCAGGCGGCGCGCTAATCCTCCAGGAACACGCCTCCACGGATGCAACGGAGGCGTTTGAGAGGTGAAGAGGACGAGGTGCTGTACGTCTTTCTTCAATGAAGTGTACTACTACGCACAGTAGATACTGTAGATACCAGCTGCACGGCGTGTGTGAAGATGTTCCCCACGCATGTTCATGAACATGGCACCCGCTCCTTTCAGAGTGTTGTTTTCGGCGTGTAGGCATCCCTGTGTTTTGAGCTTTTACCTCATGACCATCACACCACCACAAGGCGGCGTAGGCCGGTACGCGATGAATCTCATGTGCATCGGGTATATATAGATGTACATGTCGAAACGACACCCGCCGTCTTGTTTACTACTGCTGTTGTAGTAGCTTGCAACAGCTGCCGATCGAGCTACTCTTCATGCTTCTGAGGCTAGAGGGGGTGTTGCAATGTGCGGCACCGAACGACCCCAAAAGCGCTCCCCCATTTTCCCCCGTTTGAAAAGGCTGGAAGGGATATCGTTAGGATATACTTCCTCTGTATCATAAGTTAGGGTACCTAAATGCAATAGATTGTCTGGGTGCAACCGTGTTAGTGATGGTAGCATAGTCGGGTTTGTAAGAAAGATATAACAAAGAAGAAGCGATGGAAAAAAAATTAAAAAAAACGAACATCTATTTCTGTACCTACTATTGGTCAAAATGTACCCTATTTTGGCCTGTTTTGGGAATATTTTTGAGAAATATTTTGGGATATTTTGTGAGAATTCTCGACAAAATTCTCAAATCCATTTTACTACCCTACTCTAGCGATGGAATCGCCCCCCAGCACACCACCTCGCAAAAGGGGCACCGAATTATCGGTTGGTAGGCGCTATGCCATGGCGGTAGAAATTGCGATGGGCATTCAGCCGGGGTTGTCAAGGATTCCCAAGGGCGTGCTTGACCCGATCTGCGAACGCTACGGTGTTGGAAAGAAGTACCCGTCCAAGTTGTGGAAACGGGTCAAAACCCAGATCGACAACACCCAGGAGCTGGACCTTTCAAACGAAGCAAAGTGGGCGGCCGTCGCTTCTCACCCCTTCAAAGATTGCGGCGGCATCGAGTCCAAGTGATGATGAGGAAGA